CTCCAAGGAAGAGACCCGTAAAAGTCTGCATGAAGCTACACAAGTCATTGATTTTGGGTTTTGGCATGTCCTTGGTAAATAAGTTTCTTACTTATATTTTGAATGACCCTTTTGACCTGGCTGTAGCTGTTGTAGGGGCACATATTCCAATTCAACTTAACCGTTGCATCACAAGGATTAGTGACTTCAGCCTCACGAGTTATCAACCCCTACAAAAGCAGAACAGGCTAATGAGCAGTGAAGTGGGTCAGTATTTGCAAATAGGCAAACTTTTTGTGGATACTGAATGAGAGAGACAGGACTTCTACATTTCCATGTTAGATGAGCTGCTAATAATAGATTACTCATTATACAAAGATGGGAGGTATTCCCAGTGCCTAGAAGGACATGGTAGAAAATGGTAGGAAAAAGTAGGGATGCAATTCAGTATAAGTAGCAAGTCTCTGTACTTTTTTTACTCCCAACAAAAATGTATATTGTAAAGTTTCAGGTGGTGTTTTTTTGGGGGATGTTTTTTTTAGTTTTTTTAGTGTTTTTTTTTTTTTTCCTTCTTGGTTTTTTGTTTGTTTGTGTTTTGTTTTTTTTTTTTTTAAACAGAGAAGGAAAGCCACCTGTGAATGTATTTACTGGTTAAAGGATGATCATGGTGGACTTGGTAGTGTCAGGTTTACAGTTGGACTCGATAATCTTGAGGGTCTTTTCCAACCTAAATGATTCTATGTCTGTATGATGCAGCCATGAGAAATGCGTTAAATTTAGGGGAAGTGCAGTTAATGCTGTTTTATGTCTAGAGAGCTGCATACAAACCTGGTCACCTGTAGTCAGGAAAGATGAACTGAAGCTAGACCAGGCACAGAGAAAGGTGATTAGACCTGCCTTCTCCCCATTACCTTATCTACAGACTGGAAGAGCCTGGTTTAGCAGACTGGCAAAGTTAAGACTGCTCTGTAGTCTTGTTTCGGCTAAAGGCAAGCACTGATGCTTGAGTTTTAGTAAGTCAAGGTGCAAGTGAATGACAAGTAATTTAGTAATTCAGAATTTTCTTAATTGTCAGAATAATATGATCTCCATAAGAGTAGCACGGAAAAAAACCAGATGATTTTAGGCTGGACCTGGATCAGCTTTTGAAATGTGTGGTGGATCAGCTTTTAGAAGTGTGGTTGGTTGTGATGGTGGGAGCTGATAGGCAACTGTTTTGGGTCAGTGTTTCCCTTTAGCCTGCGGTGATGTGAGCTGCTGCTGGCTGCAGGTGGGGGTGACATCTGCCAGAGCGCTGCTGTTGGCCATGGGTTATGGAGGGGCTGAGTCCCCGGCAAGCGGGGGCTGCCACCTGGGTGTCCGTATGGCAGAGCCGTGGTGGCCGCTTGAGCATTTCAGGTGGCCCTTCTCGAGAAACAGAGCTGTTCTCATGGCAAATCTTGAACTGCTCCTGTTTCTCCTGATTTTCTTGGGAATTACTGGATACAGAAATACTGAGCTATAAAATTGAGGTTATAGACATTGTGATTTATAATACAGAAAGTAGTCCTGTGAGATTTAATTTTCTGAGCTGATTTTTTGTATGTCCCTTGCTTTGGGTGTCTGTCCCACATTTGGTCCTTGGCAGGTGAAAAATGTGCACATTAGTATTTTGTATCCCTTTAATTAATTTTGCGTGACTCTCTTTTTCCAGGTAATTAGGCCAGGAAAAGGTTCAAGAGGATGTTGCTTTTGGGCACTGATTTAAAAGAAAAAAAAGAGAGAAAAAAAAAAAGCACTGAATAAACACTATTATTTGCATAATATTTTTACTGGTATGTTTGTGATATTGGAAAATCCATGCTCACAAAACAGATTTCTTAAGAGTCTATTATTAGATCATGAAATTTACTCAGAGTTACGATTTTTCAAGCCTTCTTGATTCATTCAGTGTTGTAAAGAGTCTTTTCCTGTTTTCTTGTGGACAACAGTGACTTCTTATGACTGGGACGTAGTGTATCATCATGTTTGTTTATTAGACTGTACAAAAGAATGACAAAAGGGCTTTAATTTTGGTTTTATTTGATATTCTGTACTGTGATAACTGATGATAGTTATTACTAGTGTACTTTCAGTTGTTATTAAACAATTTCATAGTACTTTTTTTCCATCGCAGACCATAGGAAATTGTATTAAGATCCATTGTAATCCTATTTTCATCACTTTGTCCAATGTAAAATACGAAATCTTGAGTGCCAGATTTATCCAAATAGGAATATAAACTTACACACCAGATGAAATCTATCACTTGATATTAAAAAAAAAACAAACACAAAACCAATCTTGAAGCTACATGCCCAAATATGGATGGAATGTTTTCTCCTCTTAAAAGGCCTTCTAGTTAATTATTAAAATATTACTGTAATGAAAATATTACTGTAATGAAAGAGGAAATAACTGGCCTGTCAGCTGAGCAAGTAAATAGATTTTCAGTACAGTAGAGTAGGGAGGTCATACTTAAGTGTTAACAGCAACTACTGAACCTGAGTGCCTTTCAAAGGCAGTTGCCTTTGTGAGCTTGGCTTGCTGTGGTCTTGCCCTCCCTCTTTCCAAGGTTGTGAGGAGTTGGAATATTTAAGTAGGAATATTTAAATAGAAGAGGAACTGCATTCTTCCCACATGATGGCCCCTGGTGTCCCCTTTTTATCCTTCTAGACACAAGGAGCAGGTCAAACATAGTTCGACGTCCTTTGGCCTTTCGGTTACTGAAATGTGACATATTGTTGAAGTGATTCATTGATTTCCAAAAATGTTTCAAAAGAAGTTTTATTTGTTTCTGCATTTTACCTGCACTGATTTAAAAGGATTGTTGCTTTAATTGTAGGAAGAAAAAAAAGTAAAACAGGCAGTGGCGGTAGAATGCCGCAGCAGAGATGTGCACAAAGTAGTTCTGCCAGTGCAGAGCTGTTTGAGTGTGGAATAAGCCGATGTGAATCTGGCTTCTAATCGTCCTGTCCTTCTTCCTTTTTCTCAGCCATGCTTTCCCACCCCTTCCTTTTGGCTGACCCTGGGTCATATCTTATGCACAAGCTGGTTTGCGAATCCAGCTAAAGATGAATCCTACCCAAAAAATGTTATTTTGCGTTAAAATCTACTTGTCCAGGATCCAGTGAAAAAGGTCTGATTTTCTGTTTCCCATTTTTAATTATGATTATTTTTATGTTTAGTTTCTGGCCCTAAGACTGGCAATATTCTGCTGTGAAACAGCTATTATGGGAAGTGGTCTTGTCACCTTGTCAAAAGAAAAGGGAGAGAAATTCCCAGGATGATGTACAGGTTCTCAGTGTGCTTTCTGGGCCAGTATTGAAGGAATTTGAAGCATGTGAGTTTAACTGCATGGCTCCTGTGAAGTGTGATTACTGCTATCTGAGAGCTCTTTGTAAATTCATGAATACCTCCTAATCTAGATTAAAACCAAATCAGTATGGGTGCAGGGAATGTCTGTTTTTTTTTCCCAGGAGTTTACAGGCTGGAAGGGGCGTGCATACACGATGAAAGGTTTGATCTACCCACCACAGTTAAGGTCCCTGATTTCCAGCGTACTTTGACACAACACACTGGAAATCTCTGTTGTGATCTGGAAGCCTAAAAGTTCTGGGAAGCGTTTATTGCATTAAATATGCAAGTAATAAAGCCACAGGCCAAAAGCTCGGAAGGCACGCATCTACCCAACTCCCTCAGGACCTCGGCTGGTCCCTTTTCTTCAGACCTTACTTCTTGACTGATTCCTCTTTCTTTTCTCATCCTCCTTCCTGCTGTTTTCTCCTATTAATGAGCTTTCCCACCTGCCTCGCTCCCCAAAACACTTCAGCGCTTGACCATCTGTCACTGCTGCTGTGCATCCTTACTGCTCTAAGAGAAAGTATCGACCTTGAGCGGGAGTCTGTGATAAATAGCTTACAAACTGGCAACCGAACCGAAGTTACAAAGAACTCGCTTTATACATCGCACCTACAGCACGAAATCTGGAGGCCACTAGGTCTAAACACTCAGTTTGTACGTACAGTTCTGAGAAAAAGATGTGTTCAGTACATCTGCAGAGGTTTGCGACAGAACGCGTGGATCTGTGCACACGCGCTGGGCAGTGAGATTCATATCCTGTCCTAATAATGCATTTAATTTAGGAGCTGACCTCAGTTATTAGATGCAACTTTATATGAAGCTTTTGTAGATAAAAATTAGTAAAACGGCTGTGTGAGTACAGTGAGACCAAATGTATTCCCCAAGAAAGATTGGTTTTGGTTTGCTTAAGACTAAGTTTAGTTGAATCAGCAGAAAGGCTTTTTGACTTCCTTTTTCAGTTTAATTATAAGCTGAAATTCTAAATCAGCTGCTTAGTCATGGTAAATTATGAAAATGAGGCTGTTCATTGGCAAGCTGTTGTTGTAATAAACATATTTATTACCTTTTTTTTCTTAAATGGTATTTCCCTTGAAACAAAAAGCTGAAGGGTAACTTAAGCTGAAAGAACCCATATTTTTCAAAATACCTGTCACAGTCCAGGATAACTAAACACGACAGGTGTTCAGAGTCTTCTGACAAGTTAATTTTATCCAAGTGATTTGCAGTTTTTTATAAAAATTGAACCTAAGCTGAATCCAGTTTGTTAAAACTACATAGCAAAACGTTGCTGTTTGCCAGGGAAAGGGATGTATATGCGGTTGGGTTAGGCCTCCAAGTGCAGGTGATCTTCATGTCAATACTGGTCCTCAGAGTCCGTGCCCTGTAATGGAAAAGGTACATTGAACCAGTAAGTGCTGATGGCTTAAATCCAGCAGGATGAAGCACAGCTGGAAATAAGGAAGCTCTGCTTCCTTGGGATTTAAGGAAAATTAGAGATGGGCAACTACCAAAGATGCCTGTCCTCTACGGGACGAAAGAAAGTTGGTGGTCCTGCCATGGCAAGTTTTTGTGACCTGACAAAGTGTGATAATTCTGATTTATTAATGATATTTTTTTGTTGGGGGGGGGGGGGATAACAGTTTCATTCCTTGGCTCCGATGTACTACCGGGGTTCGGCAGCAGCCGTGATAGTTTATGATATCACCAAACAGGTAAGACCTTCTGTATCCTTTTCACCTGTGTGAACTCCTCTGCTTGGGCCAGAGTAAAATCCACAGCTGCAGAAGTATTTATATGTTAATTCCTGTTCACATCAGTGGGGTCTATACGCTTTAGTAGTTTGAGTAGATTTGTATGGAGGCTTCTGACTGCCTTAAAAACCTAAATACGAAGTCCAGCTTTTGTGTTGTTTAAACTTCATCCTGACAAAACGCTGAGATGGTATTTCGTAGAAGTTTCTTTGGCTTTCCTCTGGCTAAGTAGACAGGACGATATCCTGCAATACCCCCTCCCATCACCACTATGTTCTCTGTATGGATTGAATTTTTAATACAAAAAGGAGCTAGCTGCTTTATCAACTGAACAGAAAGTCAGTTGTTTGCATATTACTGATTTTAAAACGTGTCATCTCATGTTTGCATTGTGGGGCTCATGTCTCAACTTTGAAGCCGGTGATGAAATCATAAGTCTCTGATCTTTGTCTCAGCATTATTCATTTGGAATGAAAATTGTATGTTCAGATCCTAAACTGCTCTGGCTCATTTCTCAGCCAGAGGAGGCTAGGAGGTTCTAGCCAAATGCCTCTGCCACTGCTTTTGAAAGAAACTCCTGTGGATAAAACTGAATTAGAGGAGTTGTTAATGGATGGATGGTCATGACTGTTCACTAGCATTTTATTCCTTTCCTGCCAATTGAATTATTTACTACTCGGTTGAGAGGGCCGGGTTGGTTCTCCAGTGCATTAGTGTAATGATCTGTGGCTGATGATGGTGGCCCCTGTTGCACAGCCGTACTGTTCTCCTTGACTAATTTGCCAAGAAAAGATAAGGATGAGTGAATTGTGCTGGATTGATAGTTATTTTTAATTTAAATATCTTACAGTTGATCTTGTAATGCATTGTAAGAATAGAATTTTGTTTTGCCAGCCTTTATCTAAGCTTATGTGGAACAGCTCTCAGAATAAAGAGGAGAAATAGGAGAGGAAGATCAAGGTGTATTTCACTTTCTCATGCTTAATATTCAGTGTTGATCATTAAAGCAGAATGGATTTTTTTTTTTTTTTCCTAAATGACTGATAGTGGTCTCTCTTCAGTGATACTGATATAGCCTCTGCTGATTTAGACACAATTCTTATGTGTATTTCTGAAGGGGAAAAAATTATTTATAATATATTTGGGAGCTTACTTTGAGTTTCAGTAATAATTTCAACCATGCGTCATAATTAGAATCTCTAGGAACAAAAGTGATTTTAATGCTAGTAGTTCATTAGTGTAGAGGAATAGAAAATTTACTATTAGAAGGCAGGTAGCATCAAAAAGCGTTTGAATTTTGTACTTGGAGGGAGAAAGCCAAGTGAATTGTCACCTATCTCTTTGGTTTCATAATGAGTAAATTGAGGTTTACCACACACAGATTTGGAAATGTGGGGAGGAGGTCACTGCGAAAGCTCTCCTGGATGTTACTGAAAAGATGGCAGTGACTGAGATGCTCATCTACTGGGAAGAAGTTGAAAACAGACAAAGGAAGCTCGCATTAAAAGTGAAGGAAATTAACTACTAGCCACACTTAAGAGCTGTGGTTGTTTCTTCATCACTGAAAATTCAAGAAAAACATTCAGTGCTGCTTTAGGGGGCAAAGGGGAAAGTGTCCAAGAATTAATTTGAGGAAGTCTTATGACCTAGAGTTTGAAAAGCTGATTACACAGATACAGCAATCTTCTTCTGGTCTTGTGATCTATAAAATTATTATTGCATTAATACTGTCGAAGCTGTGTTTCTCTAGCTTCAAAAAACAAGCAAATACATCAATGGAGACTAGACTGCTAGCTTATTTGTTATTTCTCTGACTTAGGATTCATTTCATACTTTGAAGAAATGGGTGAAAGAACTAAAAGAACATGGTCCTGAAAACATTGTAATGGCCATTGCTGGAAACAAATGTGATCTTTCTGATATCAGGTAATAATACTTTTTTATTGTTGTTTTGATTGCAGTAACTGTATTGTTGCCTTCCTTCAGGTAACCAATTTGTTTTGTTGTTAAAATAGTATATAATTTTGGTCAGCTGTATCGAGTCTTTCCTAACACCAATGGTTCTACCAGTGTACAATCTCACCAGCAGCAGCACAACTTGAATTATGTACTTTTTTTTAACCTCTCTTTTACTGCCCTTCCTTTGTATTTCTACAATCTACACCCTTTAGCTGCTGAATCATTGGGAATGTTTCCATTAGTAGTCTTTTTCCCCCCCTTCATTCATGTTAAAAGGTGCAGAATGTATTAAGCAATGAGCAAAACCAGCAATGTAAAGCTAGAAGGATGGGCCTGAGGTAGAATAATGTTACTCACAGAAAAGCTTTGAGGGCTAGTGCTTTGCAACAACTGAAACTGTCCCATAATACTGGATGTAGACAGTGTATTTTAGGTTTTTTAGGGGTGTAACCTCAAGTAAAACTTGGGTCACCTGCATGAAGAAAAGAACCTCCTGGGTAAAAGAGGGGAGAGTTGTATCCGCCCTCCTACAGAAGAGCCGACATGATGCTATTTGAGATGAGAGTGAGCTAAAGTTGCTCTTCTGCGTGTTAGCTCTATTTCGGATTTGCATTTATTCTTTCTGGAAACGGAAGCATGTTCTGCTGTACAGTAGTGATCCTTCGTGTCAGTCTGTGACTCTTATTTCTTGCCTCGTCTGTGAGTACAGACTCAATGGCTGTATTTGATGCTCTTCTCTTACGACCGCATAGGCTCTTGTGGTTGTTCAAATATATCCCTCTGTTGTTTTATAATCGTTACTTTGGCCCAGGTTCACCAGAGCCCTGAAGCATGTGTGTAACTTCAAGCAATGCCTTGCTTTGTTGAATCAAGGCATATACAAGGATTGAACCTGTGTGGGATGTTTTGGGGTTTTTCTTTGTTCCCTCCCTCCCTGCCACTGTTAGCTGTGAACCAACACGAAACTGAGAGTTACTGCTTTCTCTAAGATCTGAACAAGCCCTGACACTGGAAGGCTCCTGATTTCTGTTGGGCTAAGAGTCGGGGACACAAATAGTGTATTGGCATCTCCTACGCAATGTAGTGATATGCTTGTCAACATGGTGAAACTGAGTCCTGTAAGACAAAACTAAAGGTTTCCTAATACAAAGTAGAAAAAAAGAGGAAAGGATGATTATAAAAATAAAACCAAAACCACATGAGCGCAAATCAGAGTTTTCAGTTGCCCTGAGAGTCGCTTTAAATTTATTGCTTAAGTGTTCCCAGCAATACAATTGCCTGATTAAATCAAGGGTAATAAGTTTGGAGATTGTGACAAATGGCATGAATTGCAAATGAATCCATAAGCAGCCCTCCCCCTGCTTTTGGCAGCATTTGCCATGGCAGCAAGCTTTTAAATGCTGTTCCACCAGAGGCAGGTTAATTTGGGGACATGAAGGAAAACCTGCACCACCCCAGCAACGTTGTGAGAATACTGGGATTCCTCACAGAGCAACTGTGATCTTCCCACCACATTATTTTCAAATGCTACCTGTTGTTTACCGATTGCTATTCATCTGTTTCTTGCTCCTGTTCAGCCAGTACAGCTATTCCATGCACAAAATGTTCCAGTGTTTGCACGGTCCTCATTGTGCTCTGTGAGCTAATGTCTTGTATTTTTTTTTTTTTTTTAGGAAGGGGGCATATTTTTCCCCATCATTATGAGTAATTTTGAGAATATTTTTTTCACACAGTTATTCTTTCTGCATCCTCCAGCCTTGTCTTCTTTCTAAAGTCATCCAGTGATGTCTAGCTAAAGGGACTTTGGTGGAAAAACAGAGCGCAGACTGTCTTGTATGTGATATGTTTTCGTAGTTCTTCCAGAAATCTGATTATTTATGCAACACATGCAGCTGTGTGCTTTCTCTGGCTGCTTTATGTCTTCAAATTTACTCCGGTAAAAATGATTTTAGGTGAAATGTGTCACCAATTTATCAGGTTGTTTCCAATGAGAAGAAAATACGTGTGCCTTTGGGCACAGAGAATTTAAAAAATAAGATGATGTGAGCACACAGGAGGAAGCTGCTGTTTGTATGCATTTTGGGCATCTCTCTTTGGTTTTGTAGAACTTTTGGGAGATGTTTTGCTGAAAATCAGAGAGAGCACTGCTTTTAAGACCAACGTGAATAGATGCAAAAGAGGACAAGCTGACTTGGTTCAAGTTGATTTGATTCTGCCATCTCTATGATTGTAGGAGATAATGTAAGGAGGAATGAATGGAAGCAATAAAAACTGATTATCTTCCTCTGGGAAAAGATTGGCACTATTTCTCATAATTGGTGACTTTGTTACCCTCCTCATTTAGCATCTAAAAATGTGGTTTTGAGCTGCCAAGATGGATTTGGGATAATCAGGGGTCATGCTGCTTTTCTCAGTGTTGTTAATAGCCTATCAGAACTTTTAGGCACTCTGTTGAAGTAAATTTCTTCTCCACTTTGAAGGAATTTCTACAGGTAGAGAGGCAATTCTCATCTTTGTTATAGTGCTGTCAACTCTAGTACTGTTGAGTGTTTGGCATGCTTTTAAGTAATAGTAATACTTTTTTCCTTCTGTTATGTGTCCTGTCCTGACAGGTCATGAAAAAGTAGCTTCAAAGTCAGGAGCTGAGACTTCAATGTTAAAATGTTGTTAATTTAAAAAATATTTTTGAGCATTATAGAAGTCAATAGTCGTAACAGCAACTAAGAAGTGTTTACTTCCCTAAAAATACGGTGCACCTTCTTAACAAATTGTGTTCACTGGAAATTACCAGATCCTTGGTTAGGAGAATTCAACAGAATTTCATGCTCAGATCTTCCCTCTACGCATCCAGAATATTTCTTTATTCGTTAATTATTCAGAAAATCTCAAGGGAGTTCCAATCAATAAAATTATTTGGAAAGGATAAAATGAAATAATCAACATCTTTCAGAATAGGTATTCTTCTAACTTTCCCCATAGCCCTGGGATAACACTTTCTCAGCACTCCACTGATGGTTCTTGCCTTCTTCCTTCTTCACCCTGTCTTTTGTGTGTTTGTCTCTTGGCTTAGAGTTGAAGCATTTGTGCTTTTCCCTTTCCTTTAGCAGCATTGACATCCAGATTATGATAACTCCACTTGATGCATGCAGCCTTCTCAGTGCCGGCAGCACTGGATGGCATGATGCTTATTGCCCACGTGCTGTGGACGTTTATAGGCTTCCTTTGGAAATGTCATTGGAGAAGGCTAAGAAGTTTTGTGATGCTTCCTTGGAATATTGTCACTTGCTACTGTTTTACCTTTTCCTTGATTCCTGTAGTTTGCTTTCTCATCTAAATTACAGCAAGTTGAAATTCTTCATTACATAACCCTGTGTTCTCAAATTTCTTCCTTTACTGTTATTTGAATATTATGTTACATGTTTAAGTTCCTTTTTTCATATCTCCAGGGCCATCTGCAGATGGTGGCACCTTTCATAATAAAGGCCAAAGTGCCATTTCAGAAATAGTAAAGGGAATGCTGCCTTCCTTGTGTCTTCCGCAATAAAAAGATGTGTAATACAAAGAAGCAAGTAATGGAAATGAGCTCTGAATCCAGACACTGGAATTGCAGGCGAGTTTTTTTGAAAACTATTTGTAATAAATCAGACAATTACTCTGCCTCTCTGCATGTTTCCCATGAGCAGCACATCTGATTTATTTAAAATATGAACGTCCATGAGCTAGTTGTGAAATCGCATTACTGTGCTCCCACCTAGGTACCTCCTGTGAAAGTCCAAGACACTCATATTAGGGGGAAATTTCACAAATCCAGAGACTCCTAGTACATCAGAGCTGGGGGGGTGAAGGAGTTGGCACAAATTCTGCATGTGCAACAGACAGCTGTAAAGCCACACAGAACACACCAGCTGATGGATTGAACAACTCGAAATAAAATAGCGCTGGCAGCCTGGTGTTTCAACATGTGCTCCTCTGATCAGGTGTACCTTGGGTGCCTGACAGTGTGTTCAGTCTCTGACGCTGAGCTGTTGCTCAAAAATCAGGAATCGCGTTGGTTACGGGCAGCGGCGGGCACAGGCAAATTCAGCTTTGCCACCTGGCTCAGGAAGATACAAGGTCAGTGTGGGACTTACCTTGTGTCTGAGGCAGAGGTCTTGGGCATGTTGTAAACTGCGTTTACCAGCTTTTGACATAGGAAGTATTGGCTACGAAATGAGGATTTTCTACCAGTGATTTTAAGATGGTGTCACTTTGGTGGTATGGCATAGAATGGTGGTCTTCCCCTAGTGAATCTGGCTCTCCCACATTGCCCTTGCCGATGTGCTTGGAGTCAGTGACTTTCATATTTCTTTCAGAATCTCTCTTGTTTTCTTGCTACTTGCAAACATTTAGACAGACGATGCTCTTATCGTTTTCTTCCGCAACAGTCGTACCCTATCTTGTTTGAACACTTGGTGTGGACTGTGCTGGTTGCTGCCTGGATCAGCAGAGTTGTCTGTGTTTTCTCTAGTGTTTTAATGCTTTTCTTATCAGGGTCAAGTTTTAAAAACAAACAAATGGGACTGTCATTTGAATTATCTTTCTTTTTTCAAGGCACGGATTCAGCAGCACATCCAAGAAATCTGAAGATTTATCACTGATGAAATTTTGGTATTTTGAATATGATTATCTAAATGCCGTAAGAAGAAAGATAGTACTGCTTTTACAGAGAAGAGCATACTAATGCTTTTCTGATTAAACTGTGTTTGAGCGTTTGTTGGGGTATTTTTTCCCAAAATTAAATCACTTTTTGAAAATTTAGGTTCTTTTATTTGTATTTTTTTTTTTTTTGTAGGGAGGTTCCTATGAAGGATGCCAAAGAATATGCAGAATCTATAGGTGCAATTGTTGTTGAAACCAGTGCAAAGAATGCTGTTAACATTGAAGAACTTTTTCAAGGAATAAGTAAGTCAATGCTCCCTTTGTTTATTTAATGGTGATTGTTTGAAGGTCTTCTGAAAATAGCTGTCTGTCTTGGGTCTGAAAGTTTCTTTCCCAAGGACATCAGGAAATCCACTGGGCCAATAGTATGGCTGCTATGTATGCAGACGTGAACTAAGAACAACTTTCAATACACCAGAGCAAAACATAGTAGGTAGTAAATATGGGGTAAGCCTATTCCTTCTAAATCTTTATATAAGCCCTGACCTGGGTCACATCTTCTGTTTCAGGCCAAGCCTGCTGTAGAGACGATACTGTTGATCTTATCATGTTGATAAGGACTTGAATGTTGAGAAAAGCGCCTGGAGGGCTATGATAAGTAGAAAATAGTCATTGCAGTGGAATCCATTTAAAAAAAAAAAAATTTCTCTCCAGGTCTTTTAAACAAGATGTGACTGACATTCCTCATGAGGAGAAGGAAAAAATGTCTTGTTCAGTTTGCCTTCTAGGGATTCCAGTTTTGGTCTCTGGCTGCAAGTGGGAGGGACTTTGTGGGGCTGGAAGGGAACTCAGGACACCTTCAGTCCAACTTCCCACTCCAAGTGGACCTGATAGTGAATTCAGACGAGGTTGCTCAGGCCATTGTCTGGCTGGGCCCAAGAGCAGAGGTTCCACAACCTCTTTGGGCAGCCAAGTCCAGTGTTTAAATAGTCCTCATAGTGGCATCCTCCCAGGTGTATCAAGTCAGAACCTCTCCTGATTCAGTTCATGGCCACCATCGCTCGTTGTCCCGGGTGCATCTCAGTAAAGAGCCTGGCTCTGTCTCTTTGGCAGTCTTCCCCATAGGTACTGACGGGCGGTGTTGTGGTCCCTCAATGCCATCTCGTCTCCAGGCTGAACGAGCCCCACTTCCTCAGCCTCTCCTCACAGGGCAAGTGCTCCAGCCCCCTGACTGTCTTGGTGGCCCTTCTCTGAACCTGTGCCAGTTTGTCGACGTTTTGCTTGTATCGCAGGGCCCAAAACTGGATGCATTACCCAGCGTGGGTTAGACCTTATCTAGAAAGAGATAACCACTTCACCTAATCCGCTGGCTTGGCTCTTGTTGGTATGACTTAGGATGCTGTTGGCTGTCTTTGCTGCCAGGGCGCGCTGCTGGCTCGTGCTCAGCTTACTGCCCTCAGGTCCTTCTTGGCAGAGCTGCTTCCAGGGCAGCCAGTCCCCAGCCTGTCTCATAGCCAGGGGCTCCTCTTTCCCACAAGCAGAGCTTGGCAGTTGTCCTTTCTGTGCCACATAAAGCTCCTGTTGGCCCATTCCTCCCTCCAGCCTCAGGCGCTCTGAACAGCAGCTCTGCTCTCAAGGGTACTGAATGCACCCCAGAGCTGGGTATCATCTGAGGGTTGAGGTGGGTGCATGTTTATCCTCCTTCAGGCCACTGATAAAAGGCATTAAGCAAGGTACTCCACTTGTAACTGGCCTACGGGTAAATATGTACTGTTAACCACCGGCCTTTAAGTCTGATGATCTAGCCAATTTTTCACACAGCTAACAGGCTGCCTGCCTACACTATAACATCCCAATTTGGATATACCAGAACACTGTAGGAGGAAGTATGGAAAGCCTTACTAAAGTCAAGGTAGACAACATCCAGTGCTCTCCCTCCATCACAGATCCAGTCATGCTATCATTTAGGGTAACCAAGTTGGCTGGACATGATTTACCCTTGGTAAGTCCATGCTGACAGACCCCAGTCACCTTCTTCACCTTCATGTGCTCAGAAGCAGCTTCTGAGAGGATTTGCTCTGTGGTTTTCCCAGGAAGCAGAGTGAGGCTACCCAGCCTGTAGATCCATGGCTGTTATTGCCCTTTTTGAAGACAGATACAACATTCACCTTTCTTCAGTCATAGGGGACGTCCCTCATTCTCTACAACCTTTCAAAAATGATACGGATGATAAAGAACAGCCTGGCAGTGACATTGGCTTGCTCCCTCTGCATCCTCAGGCTTGTATGGCTTGAGATATCTTCAGAGCTCCATGACTTGATCCTCTTCCACTACTGCTGGTTCCTCCTCCCCCTGAACTCTGTTTTGGGGTGCAGAAGCCTAGGAGTCAGCATGTCCAGAAACTCAACTTTATTTCCCTAAAGTATTTTTATTTTTATTTTATTTT